GAAGAGTTGATGCTTTTGAGTTGTGGTGCTGGCGAAGAATGCTGAAAGTACCATGGACTGCAGAAAGAATTAACAGATCTGTCCTGGAGGAAGTGCACCCGAAATGCTCCTTGGAAGCGAGAATGGCCAGGCTTTGTCTCACCTATTTTGGTCATGTTGTCAGAAGGGACCATTCTCTGGAGAAGGATGTCATGCTTGGTAGGGTGGAGGGTTGATGAAAGAGGGGTAGGCCTTCAACGAGATGGATTGACAGAGTGGCTGCAATGATGGGCTCAAGTATAGCAGGGATCATGGAGCTGGCGTAGGATCAGGCAGTGTTTCGTTCTGTATATGGAGTTGCTATGAGTTGGAAACTACTCGATGGCACCTAACAACAACATGATAGCACTTACTACATTCCTGGGAGCTGTGGTGGCATAGTGCCTAAGGCATTTGACTGCTAACCAGAAGGCTGGTGGTTCAAACCCACCAGTCACTCCTCGGAAAGAAGATTGGGCAATCTAATTCTGTAGATATAGTGCCTCAGAAACCCAGAGAATTGTTGCTATGAGTCGGGATCGACTCAACGGCAGTGAGGTTATTATTATTATTATTATTACATTCCATTACTATCATTTGTTTATATAGCTGAGCCTCCACTCCCAAGAACCTAGCACACATACTAAAAGAATATATAAGTTTCTACAGAGCAGAGACTGTGTGTTTTCCGATTTTATATCCCCAGTACAGTACTTGGTGGAGTACACTGAACACATACATTGTTTATTCAAGAACTGTTTATTTACTGAATATAAAAATTATCAAAAAGAAAACTTCTGAACTCTTAAGAATTAGTTCTTATGGTCTACATGGTTGGAGGGGACATTAAGCTCAATTGGCATAACATACTACACAAAAACATTGTTCTACATCCTACTTTGGTGAGTAGCCACAGGGGTCTTAAAAGTGGCCATCTAAGTGCAACAATGGGTCTCTCCTTATCCAGAGCAAAGAAAAATGAAGAAAATCAAAGATGCATGGAAACAGTTAGTCCAAGGGACTAGTGGACTATGGGAACCTCTGCCTATATGACCATGAGACCAGAAGAACTAGATGGTGCCCGGCTACCACTGCCAACCACTCAGAAAGGGATCAATGCAGGAGATCCTGGATAGAGTGGGAGAATAATGTGGGGCAAACCTCAAAATCATAAAAAGACCAGGTTTACTGGTCTGATAGAGACTGGTGAAACCCCCAAGACTATGACCCCTTCAGATCTGGAATTGAACTCACTCCCAGGGCTTCTAGCCAAACAATAGACAGACATATAGGGTGAACATTTATATAAGGTAGATACACTCCTCAGAATGATCAGTCAATGAACAGGAGGTTAGTATTTGTTCAGGGGACAGGAATGCATAGGAAAGAAGGACACAGGGAAGAGGTAACTACAGGGAGGAAGTGGGAAGAGAGCTGTTACATTGTGGGGAATTGCAGTCAATGTCATGAAACAAAATGTGTATGAACTGCATTATTGGAAAATGAATTTGTTCTGTAAACTTTCACCCAAATCACAATAATTTTTTTGAAAGAATTAATTATTAGGGTGTATAGATCCATGAATAGACTTCACAGGTCCATGAAACCCATGAAAATGTGAACAAAAAGTTATTTGTATATATATTTGGGGAGTGGGACAGAGAATACATGGCCTGTTAGGGAGAATTCTCAAAGGGTTCCATGACCCAAAAGGTACTGAACCATGCTGTCTTTGGAGTGGACTGAAAAATAAAGGTAATAATATTGTCATAACCTTAATTGCTACTCCTGCTATTTCTTTGCTGCAGAAAAATTGAAGAACTGAGTCAGAGCCTTGCTGCCCAGGAGAGGCTGGTACAACAGCTATCTAAAGAGAAACAATTGCTGCACCTGTTGGAAGAGCCAGCTAGCATGGAAGTACAGGTAATGTTTGGGCTATGCTCCCCAAGGAACTTGCCTCCTACTTTCATGAGTCCCACTTCTTAAAAATATATCTAAGGATATTGTTTATCTATTTCTATGTAACATGTTACTGCAAACTTAGCAATTTAAAATAACATACATTTATTATCTCACAGTTTCCTTGGGTCAGGAGTCCAGGCATGGCTTCACCAGGTTCTCTGGTCAGGGTCTCAACAAGTCTGAAATCAAAATGTTGACTGAGCTGCATTCTCATTATCTGGAAGCTTGCCTAGGGAAGGAGCCACTTTCAAGCTCCCTCAGGCTGTTGGCAGAATTCATTTCCATCTATCAGTAGAATTCTTGGCAAGTTGCTCCTTAAAAGCTGGCACCGAAGAGAGAGGAAGGGAGAGAGAGAAAAAAAAACTGTTGCTTCAAGCATCTCACCTGTAAAATCACCCTTTTTTGAAGGTTTACCTTATTAGGTCAAGCCAACCAGAATAATCTCTCTTTTCTGTTAACAAAATCAACCTGATTAGGGACCTTAATTACATTGGTAAAACTCCTTCACCTTTGCCACATACCATAACATATCTACAGAATGATATGCCATCACTCATGCCATACTGTATTAGTTAGAAGCAAGTTAAAAGTCCCACCCACCCATACTCAAAGGCAAGGTGTGGGTATCAAGGGTAGGAATTAGGGGTCCACTTAGAATTTTGCCTGCTGCATTGATTACTACTACTACATCTTAGAATTTTGTCTACTACAGTAATTTTTGACTTTATATGTGCAATGTGGTTTTAATATTGATGAGAGAAGCCTTACTGGTAGAGTATATGGTGAAAATAACTGCATTGATTTTCATCCATATTTTTGTTCTTGGAAGTTACCTCAGAGGGAACTCCCTTCCTCCATTTGACTTTTAATTTACTAAAAAGATACTTTCTAAATAAACTCTAGACTATATCTGTGCCCAAGAAGTATTAACAATTACCAGGTATTCTTATAGGTCTTAGACCAGTGATAAAGCAAAACATGTGAGGATTAATTTATTAGTTCACAAATATAGAGGTTGGTGTTAGACTAAAAGAGCAGTGATAAGAATCCGTTTAAAGCAATGCTTCCCAACCTTTTCCATGTACATGTACATGTAGCAAAGGATAATATTTGTAAGGCTTAGAGGTAAATGGATGGAACTTCTCACTTGGAGGTGGTCAACCTGGGTGCTTAGGCCACAATGAAGGCAGAGGAAACCCTTATTTTGGCCACATTTAAGGAGCCCTCATGGTATGGTGGTTAAAAGCACAGCTGCTAACTAAAAGGTCAGTGGTTGAAAGCCACTCCACAAAGAAAAATGTAGCAATCTGCTGCTGTAAAGATTACAGCCTTGGAAACTCTATGGGGCAGTTCTACTCTGTCCTAATGGTTGCTTTGAGTTGAAATTGACCCAACAGCAACAAATTTGTAAACTTTTAGGTGGTATCTTCAGTTTTGTTGAAAAGTTCCAGTTTAACACAATGAGGAAATAGTGTGTATGCTTGTAATTTGACAGACATGAATAAAAATTAATGGTCATAGTTTCTTTGAAAATTAAATACTGAAATACATTAAATGGTTTTGAAGGGATTCTTGAAAGGATTCCATGGAGTTTTTAATTTGAAAGAATTCCACTGGGAGTCAGGAGACTTGGATACTAATCATGATTCATTATTTATTACCATTTCTAAAACAGCCTGAAGTGGTCAAGGCAGAGAATGCAGCCTTCTAGCAAGCATCCAGATAATTCTCAGAAAACTTCTTCCTTCTCCCAACATACATTCAGATTTCAAAGGAAGGAAAATGATTTGGTCACTGTGCTCCTAAAAAAAAAAAAAAAAAAATGAAGCAATTATTATGTATCTTAGGAAATTTTAGCCACACTTAAGTGGTTCAGATTGATTTATGGAAACCAAACAAAACCAAACTCACTGCTGTGGAGTCGGATCCGACTCATAGCCACCCCTCCTTGAGTTTCCCAGGCAGTATCACTACAGAAGTAGATTGCCCACCCTTCCTTCCAAGGAGTGGCTGAATGATATAGTCAAATCTAAGATCAGAGAAAGAATCCTACTCCTTTGAGATAATCCTCACTGGTAGAGTATATGGTGAAAATAACTGCATTGATTTTCATCCATGTTTTTGTTCTTGGAAGCTACCTCAGAGGGAACTCTCCTCCTCCATTTGACTTTTAATTTACTAAAAAGATGCTTTCTCAATAAACTCTAGACTATATCTGTACCCAAGCAGTATTAACAATTACCAGTTATTCTTACAGGTCTTAGACCAGTGATAAAGCAGAACATGTGAGGTTTAATTTATTGATTCACAAATATAAAGGTTGGAGTTAGACTAAAAGCGCTCCTTTGATGACTGATTCCAGTATGAATTGCCAATATAACATACTTGTTTCAGACTGCATTTGAAGCAGTGACATTCACAGTGATTTTATGTACAGGTATAAATCTTCCTGGATTTGTATTGGAGCTTAAATTGTAAAGCAGTTGGGTTTGTGGAAGGCTGTGGTCTGCAGTGGGAGCCCTGACTCCATTTTGAGGCTTGATATAAGTTTCAGATACCATTTGTTTTTTTTTTCTGACCATTAAACCAGCATCGTGGCTATGCATGGACAAATTCCAAGACAGAGAGAGAGCGGCAGTTTGCCTTCAGGAAGAAAGTGGTCTCTTTTCCTCTATTACAGATTTTAACTAGGGAAGCAGAGTGGTATGGAAGAAAATGAGCTCAGGTTTTGAAATCTGAATCTCACTTTTAGATGTATGGCCTTGGACAAGTTACATAACCTCTCCAAATATTATTTCCTCATCTGTAAAACAGGGATAAAAATCTCTAATGTTTAGCAATTTGCAAGGATTAGAAATAATACATATGAAGTACCTACCATATTGCTCGAAACATGATTAACTATGATTTTTATCCATATTAACATCTGAAAAAAGAGTAAATCTATTTTTAAAATGAGTAGCAGATATAAAGACATAGTCCTATACTCCTACAGAGTAAATTTCACACACATAGTAATTATCTTTGTCTTTCAAAAAACAAAGATAAAATTAAGTTAAATATAAAACCAAACTTCCTTCCTTGGAGTCATTTCCAACTCATAGTGACCCCTATAGGGTTTCCAAGGCTGTGAATCTTTATGGAAGCAGACTGCGACTGCCTAATCTTTTCTTCCATAGAGTGGCTAGTGGTTTTGAACCACCGACCCTTTGGTTAGCAGTCAAATACCTTAAGCATGGTACTACCAGAACTCCTTAAGTGTAACTCACTGCCATCATGTTGATTTTGACTCATAGCGACCCCCATTGGGTTTCTGAGGCTGTAAATCTTTGCAGAAGTAGATTGCCCCATCTTCCTTCCATGGAACAGCTGGTGCGTTTGAACCACTGACCTTTGGTTAACAGCCAAATTCCTTAACCACTGCACCACCAGAGCTCACTTAAGTGTAGCTGTTGCTTATTAGTAGATTAATGGTCACAGTTCTACCTCTTGACCTATTAGCCTTGCACATAGAAAAATGTTTTTATCGATAAAGACTGAATTAATTTCTAATTTGTGTTACTGCTTCCCAAAAGGACCACAGTAGAGTGAGAATGGCTTGGGGCAAATGGGTCATAATGATGATTATATCTCACTTTAATGTCTTAAACAAAAAGAAATATTGAAGCACTTTCTATGGCATCTTGGAAGTATTTAGTCATACTCAAGTTGTTCAGATTATTATAATATAAAAATCTAGAATTGAATTCACAGCATTTCTTAAACATATATTCCAAGTGTAATTGAAATATTTATCGATAAACATTGTGCCTAAGGCATTTGACTGCTAACCAGAAGGCTGGCAGTTCAAACCCACCAGCCACTCCACGTAAGGAAGATTGGGCAATCTACTTCCGTGGTGATATCACCTCAGAAACCCAAGGAGGGGTCCCTATGAGTTGGATTCGACTTGACACCAGTGAGTTTGTCTTTTTTTTTGGTTTATTCAACTTTTCTATAACAATAACATCAGCACAAATTGTAGCATTTTCTACAGTAGTGCTCGAAACCAAAAAAACACTGCCATCAAGTCCATTCCAACTCATAGCGACCCCCACTGGGTTTCCGAGGTCGTAAATCTTTACAGAAGTAGGTTGCCCCATCTGCCTTTCATGGAGCAGCTGGTGAGTTTGAACTGCCAACCTTCCAGTTAGCAGTCAAATGCCTTATGCATCATGCCACCAGAGCTAGGCACTATTATAGATACTTTATGTATTAAATTAATCCTGAAAAGAACATGGAGGGAGATATTATAATATAAAAGCACTGCAATATAAAAGAGACATATAAAGAGAATAATTAATAATAAAATAACGTTTCCTTTAACATGTAAATTCTTGAGCACAATTACATTAAAAGAGTTAAAGAAATTGTCAGATGATCATACCTATACATAAAGTCTGTGAATGTCACAACTTCAAATGTAATCTGATATAGGCATGTGCTGTATTGGCAATTCACAAACTGCAAGTGGCAATGCCATTACTAATGAGATTTTCTGAAAGGGTGAAAAACTCATGGTGAATTTCCAAACCAAACACAAAACAATCCACCCTTAACTTACATAGTGATTTTATTAATGGAAAATTCAATATATGTTAAAATTGTGTTCATATACAGCAGAATTAAGTTCTAGGTGAAGATGTTTATAAACAGTTTTATTACTTCAAGTGGTGCCCAGTTGAACATTTGAAAGTCATTCAGAATTTCAGATAATTCTTTGTTCTGCCCACTGCAAGTTATGTAGCACTTTTACCTCACTCATCATTTTGACAACAAAAACAAGAAACACTCCTACACTTCCAAAAGGTCCTTTAGGAGATAAGTGTGGAAATAGAGATATACACATAATGCTAAAGGGACCCACAGATGAGTGGGATGAACTCTTACCTTTGCAAGTGAGGAAAGACCTCACCCGAAGG